TTGGTTATACTTTCAGCATAGATTTGCTCATTTTAATGCGCCAGTCCTTCTGAAACTTTTATTTCTGTTACATCTTGAATTTCCAAAAGCTCTATTTTATTTCCTGAATATTCATCTGTAATAACATTCTGGTTTTGTTTCAAGTATCTAGTAGATTTGTTTATTTCTGGGGATGTTATAGGTTCATTTTTTGCAGTTTTTTTCTGCTCCTTGCAGTATGGCTATTTCCTCTGAGTTCTTTATGATGGTTTGTTTTGGTCTCTATCTTTTATGTTAGAGTGTTTGGTGATCTTTGACAATATTCATAGTTATACGTTAGTCCAAAAAAAGCCTCCTGGAGGGCTTCCCTGGTGGTGCAGTGGTTGAGAGTCCGCCTGCCTATGCAGGGGACACAGGTTCGTGCCCCAGTCCGGGAAGATCCCACATGCCACGGAGCGGCTGGGCCCATGAGCCATGGCCGCTCAGCCTGCGTGTCTGGAACCTGTGCTCCACAACGGGAGAGGCCACAACAGTGAGAGGCCCGTGTACCACAAAAAAAAAAAAAAAAAAAAACCCCCAGAAAACGTGTGTGTGTGAGTGTGAGTGTGTGTGAGTGTGTGTGTGTGTGTGTGTGTGTGTGTGTGTGTACGCGTAAGTGGGAGACATTTGGCACATTAGGCAGAGGCCTTGCCATTTCATTGAGAAACCTTAAAATATTAGTATATCTGCAGGTGTTTTTCTCTTGAGGCTGTCAATTTCCCCAAAAAGGGACCGTCTAATCTCCTGCTTCAGTCAGAATTGAGAGCTTAGTCAGGGAAGGGCCTGGCAAAGGTCATGTTCTTCAGCATGCAGAATTTTATTAAATCCCATTATTTTCAATAACTGTTTTACTTTAGCTATATCTGATGTCCCCAAGACTAGAGACTTACTCATTTATTCCCTCCAGACCTTGATTTTCAATCTTCAGTACACTGCATGGGACAGAGGATCTGGGAGGTCTTGTTACTCTTTCTCCAGGCTTTCAATCAGTTCTGCTGTTTCTAGCTCCTCACACCCTTGACATCAAATATATCTGGTGCCTTCAATTCTTATGCCTTTTAAGGGTTCCCTGGTGTGAATTGGCTTGCTTCTTGTTGGCGTCCCTCACTGTTGGCAGAATGGAAAAACATTTAGCAGAGTGGAGAAAGAGGAAACCTAAGATAGTTACCCCTTGCCATCTACTTTCCATCTTTGAGATGTGCAAATTCGTCTAATCTGCTCTCCAGTCCTTTCTGCCCCATGGATTTCTTCCATTTTTATTCTTTTTACTCTCACTTCAGGGAGCGTTCAAGAGGAGACAGGTTCAATCTCCCAAGTCTAACTGAAAGACCCTAACTACCTTTTTCATTTTGCCCTTTTAATTTCACTGTAGATTTATTATGAGGTTCAGGGGAGGTTCTTTGGCTAAATCACTAGGCAGTTCATCTCTGTCTGTTAGTTTCAGGAAGGCTGATTTTGTAAACTAGGAGACAGCATGTTGACAGGTCTGTCTTTGCTCTGTAATCACCCTGGAAACTCCAGCTTCGCTTCTTTGACAACAAGTTGCCTGTTACATTGTAGGGAGCATAGTCTACCTAGGCATTTACAAATACTGGATTACATTTTTCATTGCTTTTTTTTTGTGGGGAGTGTTTGAAGTGTATATATGACTAAGCACACAAATATTACTTTGCTTTGGAAATTAGAGCTCATCCCACTCTCTCCTCTGTTTGGGCCTGTGCACTGTTCTACCTTTTCTTTTGTCTCATACATCATGAAATCATCAAGAGTGTGTTCTGTAGAGCAGCAGAAAAGTGGTTTATATACTGCAATTCATCTTTCTCAAAGAACATAGAATATATAATATTCGTGGCTTTAAAACTCACTCAGGTTAGGTGCCTGGTAATACATTTTCTTTGAGGACCTAACGGAAACATTAGTTAAATAATTTTTGTTTAATTATTATGTGTTCATTAAACTCTTAAAGATTAACAGTACAGGGCTTCCCTGGTGGCGCAGTGGTTGAGAGTCCGCCTGCCGATGCAGGGGACACGGGTTCGTGCCCTGGTCCGGGAGGATCCCACATGCCACGGAGCGGCTGGGCCCGTGAGCCATGGCTGCTGAGCCTGCGCGTCTGGAGCCTGTGCTCCGCAACGGGAGAGGCCACAACAGTGAGAGGCCTGCGTACTGCAAAAAGAAAAAAGATTAACAGTACATAAGCATGGTTGATTCAAGTTTTGCTAAAAGTACACCCCCTCAAACCTTCTCCTACGTTAGCTGCAAATTACTCATTAGGCCCTTTTACAACACTTGAAAATAGAAACCAACTAAAAAAATAGAACTCAAAGGATAATTATTTCTATTAACAAGGAATGGAATGAGTAGGTTAGAAATCTTCTGTCATTTTATTCAGGCATTAGGTAAGAGATACTGAGCCGGTGGGGCCTTTTTTGCCCATAGCGTTCACATCTTTCTTTCTTAGACCGTTTCTTGTGGAAATGTGTAGTTGACTTGCTCATCGCTTTCCTGTGGACTCCAAGTTTGTTCGTGTGTGTGTGTGCACGCGTGCATGCGCGCAGCAAAGAGGACAATCCCTGGTGCATGCAGAGATTGACTGGTTGATTGATTGCATGACAAAGTAGGCAGAGAGATGGCAGGTATTTTTTTTTTTTTTTTTTTTGGG